CCTTTGCTCTTGGGAATTGAATTCTTTCTCATGTAAAACGATTGTATCATTCCTGCCATCTAACATGGCTGCACTCACGTGATGGTGCAAAACCTCTATAAGCATAAAAGGATAGACAACAAACCCTTTATTCACATTCACTAATTATGAAACCCGTGATATATAAAATACCTTCATTTATTTGGCATATTGTTTACTAAGTTTAAGATAATGAAAGTCCCAAAAAATTTGCAGCAAGCTTACGTATGCATTATGAAGCTTGTTGAAAGTTCAGTTCATTTGCACGGCTATCGAAAAATGTGTTTAAAAAGATGACATGGAAAAATTGTAACAACGTTCAAACACAAATTAAGCCATATCCTGCTATCTTTAGTATCTAAACATTTTTAAGCGATCTGAAAAGAATATTTCGCAAGAGAACGTGTCTTGGATATAAGATATATGTATAAGCTTACAGCCTGGTCTGATGTGATCTGATCCATGCAGAGTGTGAATTAGACCATACATTATTATTTTCATTTGAAAGAGAATAAAGCAAAAAAATCAACTTACATAGCTTCATAGTCTTGATTTCCTTCTCTGCGTCCATTTTGGAAGGTCTTCAATGGAAGAAGATAGAAAATATCTCTTGCCGACGACTGTCTAGACAACACTCACACAGTTCCTCACACAGGGTCTGGTAACACAGGGAGCCCAGTAAACAAGGACCAATGAATAAAATACTATGGGAGAGGGGGTGAGTCTGGCGAAACGAGAAACTTCTGTTTTTCTTTCATTGCTTCGTTCTTTTTTCTTTATTTTCGTTCTTCGTGCTTTTTTCTTCATTTATTCCATATTTTTTTTCTTTCTTCTTTCCTAATTCAAGCTGTTTTAGAAAATTTGGAGGAAAAAAGCTGTCACTTTTCCGCTTGAAATTAGGCAATCCAATGAAGAAAAAGTTCAAGCACTATTAAGCACTTGATAACATTGACAATAATTAACGAGTTTTATATTGTTATTTCAATGGCGGCCATCTTTTTATTTTTTGCTGGTCAATTTTTGTAGGCTTCATGAGAACTAAGTCTTGAAGTGACGTCATTTCTACGTCACTATTTCAGAACAGTATTCTGGTTTTCTATCCTTCATTCATTCATTCTTTCTTCCTTTTTTATGTTGTTTGCTCTTATCCTCTCTCTCTCTCTCTTTTTCATTTGATTGCAAAACACAGTTTGTGGCAAAAACAAATTGAATTTCCAATTTCACTAGTTTTCTTTTTATTCATCTTTATATTTAGTTCACATATAGATTGTTCAAATATTCTAGTTCAAAGTCAAAATGTAACTGCTTGGAAAGAACGTGATCCTGTTTATATAGAATTTAAGCTGTTGGGATACTTGTTCAAATATTCTAGTTCAAAGTCAAAATGTGACTGCTTGGAAAGAATGTGATCCTGTTTATATAGAATTTCAGCTGTTGGGATACTGGTACTATTTTTTTTCCAGTGCACATATTGAGTATAATTAACTAGAAATGCACTTGATACATTGGTACTTATTATGTCACTTGAAACACGCAGTACTGCAAGCCTCTTCAAAATGCTGTCACGACTGATCATCAAGATTTTAACACTGAAACAACCTCTGGGCTTATCAAAGTCAATCACAGCTAGAGATTGTGTAGTTAATTTAAAAAATCATCTGTTACACAAGTACTATGTATGCTAATGTGTTTTATTAGATAATAAAAGGAAAAATGGCACGGCGACGTCTTGGGTAATCTTTGAATTCTTTCTTGTAGTTACGATGTTTCCCTTCAGCCCAGAGGACCATCTGGTATGTGCCAGCCATCGTGAAGAATGCAGCTGTGGAAAATACAAACATTATGCGCAACTACTATTAATAATCGGGGACACTACGACCAGCTAGACGAGAAAACCAATAAAAATAAAGAATGAAAATTGAATGCATTTCAACTTTGAGTAGTCAAGCCAATCAGAAACCTAGACTACGTGAGAATTATAATTTGACCCTGATGTTACATGTAAAAAACTAAACAGCCATCATCATTGTCTTGTGGGAATGAAAAGATATGTTGAAATGTTGTATTATTTCATTCTACAATTTGATTGGTTTTCACTGTTAAGGTGGCCCCAGTTATTGTAATCCCACTGTAAAATATCTTGTATTTGAATATAAAATATTATGTAAACCAAAGTTTTTGCTTCTATTCAATTCATGTTCAATTTATTTATCAAGTTCTAAATATTTAACTTACTTCCTAAGGTTTGTGTCATCAGTGTAAAGCAGATCCATGCTCCAATCTGATTCAAATATTATAATATAATTTAAAATCAACAAAAATTAAGTAGTTAACTGACTGAAGAAAAAAGCAAAATATTCCTGATCAGGGGCCTAAGAGCATAATCTTTAATGGTGTTTGTGGGGGAGGGGGGGAGTTTGATATAAATAGCTAAATATGAAATTTTTTTTTTAAAACAGAAAGCAAGAACTGGGACTTGTGCTGTTAAATCTTTACCTTGCCAGTCATTTTTATCAGTAACATTCAGCAAGAGATTAGATATGACTAAGCTAAAACTAATTTGGCCTGTGATCATGACCGCCGGCTGATTGGCCTTTATTTTAAGCCCTGGGATAGGTGGATGGATGGGATAGATGGATGGATGGATGGGATAAAACAGATGGATGGATGGGATAGATAGATGGATAAATGGGATAGATAGATGGATGGATGGGATAGATAGATGGATGGATGGGATAGATAGATGGATGGATGGGATAAAACAGATGGATGGATGGATGGGATGGATGGATGGGATAGATGGATGGATGGGATAGATGGATGGATGGGATAAAACAGATGAAATGATGGGATAAAACAGATGGATGGGAGAATGGATGTGAGGATGAATAGAAATATGTGCAGATGGATGGATGCATTGAGGTACAGATATACAGATGGTTGGGAGAGAGAGAGATGGATTGACAAATGGAATATATGAAGGGAAGGATCATCACAGATAATATATATGGAATTAACAGTATCAGTCAGAATATACAATAATTTAAAAACTTTACCTCATATGTGTAGTTTGGGCATGACACAAAATTGAAGATTTGTGTCATCGGATTGCTGTTAGGGTAAGGAATCCTACGCTCCTTTGATCCTGTTCAAATGAATTACAGTGGTAATTAGATCCATAGTGGTTTTAGCCCCCAGTGGTTTAGTGGTTTACTCTTTAAATGTTTAATAAATAGGCATAGCCACATTTACGTTTGAACATGCAACTTTATTCACATTTGAACATGGGGCTAAACCAATTGAAGGGTGGGGCTAAAACCACTTGAAGATGGGGCTAAAACCACTTGAAGATGGGGCTAAAACCACTGGGGGCTGAACCACTGGGGGCTAAACCACTGGGGGCTAAACCACTGGGGGCTAAACCACTGGGGGCTAAACCACTGNAACCACTGGGGGCTAAACCACTGGGGGCTAAACCACTGGGGGCTAAACCACTGGGGGCTAAACCACTGAGGACTGAACCACTGGGGGCTGAAATCTAACTATTGCATAGAGTGGAATTAAATTTTTTTGCTTATAGTATGTTGTGGCAGCATTTGATTAACATACAAGTCTAATGCAGGATACCCCAGGTATTTGAATTTGCCACAACCCCTCCCCCCAGTGGCAGATCCAGAACAATTTCAAGGGGGCTACTGTTGCCTGGAAAGGCATCACGTGAGTGTCCTCTTTAGGGCTTTAACTCAATCTTTTATTCTTATTATTTTTTAACTTAAAATGTGGGGTGACTAGTTACCCACTTCACCCCCCCCCCTCCCCCCTCCGCATCTGCCCTTGCCCCTAACATATCGTACCTGCTGGTCTGAGGTCTCTCAGAGCACAGTGAATAGAAAAGTTTCCAAGCTCATTGAACTATAAAGGGAAAAAGATACTATTTATTAAGATCTAATTATATTGAAATTAGAATACGAAGATATTAAACACCAATAAAAATTAGAAAAATGAATAAAATGGGGATAAAGGCTCGTCCAATAATTTTGAAAAGTTATTATATTATAATAATTGAGCAACTTAATTGGGAGTACAGAGTACAATTTGGGATTTAATTGTACTCCTCTTGTCCAGTCATTTTGATTATTGTGATTTTATGAAATAGGAGACTAGGTATTAGGAACTGTTTGCTTTAACAAATAATTCTATGATTGTGTGCTTCAAGGCGAGAAAACCTGGTTGTGTGTGTGTACGTATTTACCAGGAATCCAGCCAGACCAGCATACACCTGGGCATCACCAAATTCTATTAAAAATTGAAATTAATAATATCAGTAATTTAAAGCTAATTTTGCTAATTAAATTACTTCACAATTATACTGTGATTCTCAATGTTCTGAATACTAAGACATCTCAACGGCTTGATGTTGTGAAATCAGTTGCAATCAAGAACAATCAGTTGGTACCTTTTACATGTTTGACTGGTGACAGTAAAAAGCCAAATTTGAATCAATGATTAACTTGCAACTACTGAGTTTGAAAAATATTGGGAATTTGAATGATTTTATAACTAGGAATTGGTAATCACGTAATCGGCTGATACACGGCTAACACACGGCCGATAGTCGGCCAACGCTCAGCCAACACACAGCTGATAGACGGCTGATAGTCGGGCAGCTGTTGACCAACAGTCGGGCGATAGTCGACTGACACGTGTCGGCTGATCATGAAGTACATGATTACCCTAGGAAACTGCAAGAATTATTGGGAATAGGCGTGGTATCCTTAGGGAGTTATAGTATTAGTAACATTCAAATACAAAGAGACTGTATGGACTTACTTGGGGGAGTGTACAGGGGATGGTTGATGAAGTAGCCTACAAAAAAACCAAATCCCCTACAATAACAAAAGGAAGTCAGTCTGAATAAGGATGAATAAAGTATGGATTAAAATTTTGGTCAGCAAAACAGAATAGACAGAAGCATGAAGAAAAATAGACCAAGAAAGACAGACAGACAGACAGATGGATAGACAAAGAAAGACTGACAGACAGACAGACAGATGGATAGATAGAAAGAAAGACTGACAGACGGACAGATAAATATGTCATTGATGAACAGACACACAGACAGACAGACAGATGGATAGACAAACAGAGAGACTGACAGACAGACAGACTGATGAACAAACAGACATATGGATATACAGACAGACAGATGGCCTGAAAGACTAACAGACAGAAAGACACACAGTCAGACTGAAGGATGGGCAGATGGATAAACAGCTAGATGGATGGACAGACAAACAGACAAAGGAAAAGAGGGATGGACAGACAGACTGAAAGACAAACTAGATTAATGAATTCAAAATATTAATGTATGAAAGGATGAGATAGTGACAGCAGCTACTGTACTTGTAGGTGTGGTTATTTCTGGGAATACTTACCAGTAATAGCTACAATTCTACAATTGAAAAATGGAAAAGAAAAAAGAAAAAAGTTAGACTAACAGTCATGTATTTGGTAATTAATCATTCTATTTGTGTTCTATCGGCTGCCTTATCGATTGTGTTGCAAAACCTGTTAGGCATTAAGCCATACACCCAGGAGTTATAAACACATTAGATTTTAGATTTCAGATGGTAATGACAGTATTGAAGACTCTTAAAATCCAGTGTAATGCAGGCTTAGCCTCACTTCTGAGGTTTGTAAACAAAAGCATAAATTAGAATAACAAAACGAGCAACTCCTGGATTCTAGGCTAAGCCCGCATACACTGGAGTTTTAAGAGTCGTCAATAGTAGTACATGATGGTGTCTTGTACACAAAATTAATAAGGTCTAAACAGAAAGGAGGAGATATTAGCCATCCTGAGGTTGAGGGAAAAAATGGGACGAGTTGGAATAGCAGTGCATTTTGGGACTGTTTTAGGGAGGAAATAGATGCCATTTTTGAAAAATATGTCCCCTCAATAAGCCCCACAATGCACTGCAATAGCAACTAGACCCAGTTTTTCCCTCAAACTCAGAATGGTTAATATGCATTGTGACACTTGGGCCATGACGTAGATTTTATTGAAAATGTGACTTTAAAATATCTATTCCCAAAAATATGGATGTACAACTTTACAAGTAAGTAATTAATCATGGTAGTTACAATTTTCTGTACAGCCTTCTGGTGTGGAAGTCGTTATTTACCTTGATAAGATTTGAAATGGGCATGGTTCCCTTAGAGAAGCGATGGATGAACAGAGTCTCTAAAATCCTTTTGGCATAATGGAAACCCCAACAGGCAGCCGCAATACTGAAGTAATACAGACATATTGAATGGAGTATACTAAGAATAGTAATACTAAAATATTTCTCAAACATATTATCCAGTCAATGATCAGAGCACATTAGGCCAAACAAAAAAAAAAGTGTGTTTCCTGTTGCGCAACCGACCCTAATTTTCTTGCCAATTTTTGCCGACCCTAATATTTTTTTCATTCCATATTGCACCACAGGGTTCCCAGTAAGCTCATTTCCACTTTTGTATCAGTTTTTTAAAAATCCGACCTACCAACCCCAATTATTTTTCTCAACACACTTATTTTTTTGTTTGGCCTTATCCTGGTTTGAATGACTAGGACATAATAAAATTCCAAGAGTTTTCCAGAGGTTTTCCAGGGTATAACAAAATTCTAGCACCCTCAATTTTGGAATATAAATTACCATGTCAGAAATAGTGAAACAGTTTTCCCTTAGAATAAGCAACTTACTATGTGTTGATAGAGAAAACACTTTGATTTTTTTAAAACATTATCCCAGTATTTAAGCTAATATCAATAGAAAGGTCAAGGCATTTTCCAAATAATTATGTGAAAAAAAAAWTTTTTTAAGGAGTTTCAAAGTTCCAGCCAGGACTTTCCCAGGAATTCCAGGAGCAGTGCAAACCCTTAATTATATTTCAAATATTTTAAAATACAAAATATATAATACTCACTGTACTACTTGTGCTATGGGTTGTGCGCTAGCCTCTGGTCCATATATCAACGCAGGTCTGGTGTAAAGTAGAAGGTACAGCACTAGAGGACCTGCATACTCAGCCAAAAACACCTGGATGTCAAAGGAAAATGAGCTTAAAATAATATTGGTATCATCAATCAAATGAATGCCTACCCATCATGTGCTATCACCCAGAGAATGCCAGGAATTATAGCTGCATTACTTTTTTGTTATCAAGCAACTGCATGAATCGATCTTAGAGCACTTTTCACATGACAGTGAAAAGCTCAGTGTCGTAGGCGTGCCGTGCTGTGATGTTTTCTAGACTTTTGATTGGCTGATTTTTTTCCTCAATGTGATTGGTCTTTTTTATCCTCAGACAATGTGATTGGTCTGACAGTGTCATGCCCTAGGTGTTAGGGGTATTTGATTGGATGGGGTGTAAATTCTTGACCAATATGATTGGTCTGGTGCATCCCTTGCCATGTCACAACCATGAGCTTTTGACAGTCATACGAAAAGTGCTCTATTATCAGTTTACAATGAGGATACTAGAACAGTGCATGAACACTTTTTTAAATTGCGCACGGTAAATTATCACTTTAGCCAATCGATTGGAAATAAGATTTCTATTTTTATCATTCGGCATGATGTGGATTGCTCTATGTAATATTTTTACTTTGGAGTGTCTAAACTGTTGACAGACAAAAAGCTTCATAAACTAACTACAACCTAAAGAGTACATTATTGTATCATTGTATTATATTATTTTATGACAGGTATCGACAATAAAACCAACTCACTGTTGTCCAACCAATCTGTGGACCTGAAAACCAAAGTAATAATCATATTCAAATTTATAACACTAAAACAGGTATTTTTAAAGCCATGATTTAATTACTTGATAACAAGAGAAAAAAATCAACATCAACATTTTTACCCAAATCTTTCAAGTATAGTTGAGCTTCCTCATCAACAATCTCAAGAAACTTTAAACTGTCCTCATCCTTCAATGACTTGCCTCCTAGATTTACAAAATATTTAAAGTTGGTCATAAGCAGAAAGAAGAACAATGTATGGAGCTCTGAATTTTTCTTTCTTTTTTTTTTTTTTGAGAAAAATACATGTATGCTTGAAGGAAAATAATTCAAATCTTTAAGTATAGAGCTCTTAATCATAGAAGTTACTAAAACATTTAAAGCTAAATTGGCTAAGAATACTTGGCAATGTCACCCCTTATGACATGAAATCAAAATATACTTACGAGGTTCAATTCTCAGGGATTGTCTACTTGGATACAATTTTGGTTCTGTTGAAAAGAATAGTGCAACATTTGCAAGGTTTGTTTGAATTGTATCCATATTCATGTATCTTTTCACTCATATGCAACCATTAAACAAAGAAATAATACTCTAGGGAGTGATAGGTGGTCAAGAGTCTTCAAGCGGTGAGGCAAATATTCCCCATATTCACTGAGCCTGAGGGGAATAATTGTTTTTAGTAAAAATACGCAGGTGATTATAGAAAATCTTGCGCACTGATTTGTCAAGAAACTCACACTATCACACTATAATCACCTCAGCAAAAATCCAAAATGGCGGCCAGCCGCTTTGTTGCTGTTACCGGAAAAAAATGCCTTTTATTTTCTTTTTCCTCTTTTTTGAAAGAATCACCTGTGTATTTATACTAAAACAATTATTTGCCTCAGCCTCAGTGAATATCAGAGAATATTTACCTCACCGCTCGAAGACTGGCATCTCGGTAAATATTACCTGACATTCACTTCGCCTTCGGCGAATAACTGTTAAATTATTTATGATTGAATAATTCAGGATTTTAATAATAATAAAGTATTTCTTTCATGCTGGTAAACTTTGGAAAACCCCAAAATCACTGCTCAAGCAGTGATTATCGTATCAGAATCACTGGTTACTTGATCAATCGCAAAACTCTATATTCAAGTCTAAAATTATACTAATAGACCCCTTGCATGTGACGTCAAAGTAGCTCAATTTGGAGGATAAAACAAAAGAATTACAATCTTATGAGAACCTTGGACACCTACTGTTATGTCCTCCAAATTGAGCTGCATTCTGACAGACTGCAAGGGGTATATATGTGACATAAAAACTGTGGTGAAAAATTGTACGCTTACTTATTGCATGAATTTGATCCTTTATTTCACCAATGGTAACATCAGGCTTTAACTAGATTAAAGTAAAAATTTGAATAATTTATCTTATGCTTACACGTACATGTCCATATCATAAAAATCAACATGTGAGCTGAGCCTTTGCATAGAATATTGCATGTAGTGGTAGTGCATGTGAGCAAAAAGTATCCCCTATTAGTACAAAAGCGCTAGAACAACAAGACACTTAAATAAAGTGATTTAAAGTGATTTTGTCATGCAGAGTCATGCACATATAAAATACTGATCCGCCCATTAGCTGGTGGAAGCTTAATCATTTGATTTTAATAACAAATTAGTATATGTTTAGGTGATTTTTGCAGAAAGAAGAAAATAAGGCAACATAAAGCCCTTGAACCAAAAAAAAATCACATGGAGGGGGTGGGGCGCTATTCAAAAATAGGAGGGGGTGGTAGATCTAAGGGGTAAAACTTGCAACCCTTATAAATAATATAAATGCAAAAAAACTCCAAACTTCTTTTCACAAACTTATGCATTTTAATGTTTATCTATAGGAGGTTATAAATTAAGAAGCATGATTTATGGTATGTCGCAAGTTGATCACTAGCTAAGATGTATAAACTTTAAGCTTATTTATTTTTGAGCACTATTATCTGGAAAAGTCAACATACCTTCTCGAACGAAGCAATCACCTTCAGACTTTTTACCTCCAAGACATCAAGCTAAAATCATAATCAATCAATAAAATAACTTTATAAAGAATAAAGAATAAAGAATTTTATCTTTGGTCGTACCGTGAAATTTTAGGGGGAAATGCGTATAAAAATGTATTATTTTTTTAAACGAAATTTACTATTTCACTTTATACAGTAAAATAAAATGGTAGTAACATTGATGTTTCTATTCCAGCTGTATTTACCTTCATTTTGCAGTATTTTAAGGTTAAATATTGTTGCACAACTGCAGTGTTTGACAAGATGGCGGCTGTCACGGAGTAAAACATGGTATTACGGTCACCAATATAACCACAGGTAGACCAAGCATTCGGGTGTTAAAACAGAGACCACGTGACGGACCAGCCCAGACCAACGGGTTAATGATATATGATAGTTTTGTTCGTGTCAATGCATGGATTAAGCTAAAAAATATAATTTCATATAGGACTGTCTAAATGACCTGCTGTCGCCCTTGTCGCATCCAATCCCTTGTTGGGGGAGGGGAAGGTGTGAGTAATGCAGTGTAGAAGTGGCGTGCGCTACTAAAAACCATTTTTTACGAAAAAAAGTAATAGTTTTACTAAATCAGATGAAGGAATACTCCAAATTCAAGAAAGGAATACTGCAAACTCTGGTTATGGGATACTCCGAAATCAGATTAAAGTGCCTATTAACCTTCTGACAATATTCACAGTAGAAGCCTTTTCATAGTTTAAGAATCGATTCCACTGCGCATGCGATTTTATCCCGAATTTCTCACC